AGTTAGCTTTTTTAAGCTAAACACATTTTTTTTGTAGCTAATGCAACATTTTCTGCGAAATTCAGCAAACCTCTAGTCCTTATGCTTCCTTATGCTAATAAAAACATTTCCAGCTACTGTTTAGCTATTTTACTGAAAAATTCAGCTGTTTTAACTATTTTACTACAAATGATTACTTTTTAGTAGTTTTATGGGTTTTTTCTGCTAGTTTTCTTTTTTTTTTTTACAACCATTTCACCATCTGGGTGCTATTTTCAACTTGAGGCTGCTAACTTTAGCTTATTTTTATGCTAATTTTAGCTGTTTTGCTGCAATATAAAACTTAAGTACTGGTAGCTGAGAGCAAGCTCTATCACATATTGAACCCGCAAAAAAATTGCACAATTGCAGCCAAATCTATTTCGGCTACTATTTTCCATTGGAAATGAATGGAGCTTTTTTCAACATCCTTAAATCTGTTCACAATGTTTCTAAATCTTTACAGAACCTTACACATTATCTTCTGGTTTTGCTCTAATTAAATTCCTTGTGACAATTTTAGCTACCTTTTTTGCAAATTTTAGATTTTTTTCTAGTATTTTTGCTTTTATGTTTGCCCTTTACTGTAATTTTTCTGCTAATTTTTACTTTTTTGTGCTTCTTTCTGCTATTTTGAGTTATTTATGCTTCTTCACAGTTGCTGTTTTCTATGTTCAGCTAATTTAGCTTTTAGCTTTTTCATGCTAATTCAGCTATATTTGCTCCTTTTTATTGTTTTTCTGCCTTTTTTGCTTCTTACAGCTTTTCAAGTTTAACTTACAATAAAACATTTGCTATTAAACARGTTCAGTTATATTTCAGCTTCTTCAGCAGCTTTCAGCTAAAGTTTTCAGCAGCAGGCATTCACACTAGCATCATCGCAGGGTTAATTTTATTATGAATAACTTTCTCCTTCTGCYTCCTGTTTTTAAGTTGTTCAGCTCCTCTGTTAGCATTCTGCTAATTAAAGCTAACTGGTGTATAACACCAGTAAGCCTCCACACACCAGACAAAGCTCCAGTAAAGACTCTCTCATCTGATTCTCCCTGTGTTCAGAGCTAACGACTCAGCTGGGACCACTTCTCATTCACACAGAAGAGAATAAACTCAATCAGCTAATCTGATTGGCTGCAGCTGGCCGAGCCTCGTTAAGACTCCGTCCAATTAGCCGGGTTATTTCAATTAAACCACTTATCCACAGCAGAGATGAAAAGCAGAGAGCTGTGTTCCGGATGTTTAGTCGACAGAAAAAGAGCAGAATAAAATCTGCTGCTGCCCACAGAGCCTCAGTGTTTGACCTCAGGGCAGCAGGAYGGTTAATGAAAGAATAACCTGTAGCTCCTCCCCCTCAGAGCTCCACATGGACCTCACCAACTACTACGAACTCAAACACCAGCCTCACAACCTGAGGCTGCTTACGGCCGGCTCAGGAGGGGCGGGGCTAACGGGTATCCCAGGGGCAGGGCCAACTCTGAGCGGAGGGGTGGAGCTAGGCGATCACCTGGCTCTGCCCTCGTCCTCCTGCTGCTCCGCCTCCTCCTCCTCCGTGGCGGCGATGAACAGAGCCAGGAGCCCGCTGCGAGCGGCCTCTCGTCAGAGCATGGCGTCCAGCGGAGAGGCCGCCGCRATCATGCTGCCGCATCACTTCCTGGACGGAGCTCCGCCCAAAACGGCCGTGATTAGCGGCGCCGATGGACTCCTGAGCGACCATCACCTGGAGGAGCTGTACAAAGAGAGGTGAGCGCTGGGAGGCGGTCCTAAAGTACCAAACTTTGTTTACATCTCAACAAACACAAAACGTTTTAAACTAGAGGAATCACATCTTATGTGAACATGTAGCATGTAGCAGCTATAAGCTAAAAACAGCAAAATGCTAGTTTAAACCAGCAACAACTGAGCGAAAATCTTAATAGCTATAGCTAAAGACATGCTAAAAGCTAAAAGTAGCAGAATGAGAWAACCMATCCCAGAAGAAGCAAAATAATYAGTAAATACTGTAAAATGTTASCTAAAAGTAGCAAAATGCTAGTTCCAAGCTAAATGCAGCAAGGTACTATCTATAGGCTAACATAGCAAAAACAGTAACTACATCTAAAATGTATCAAAATGCTAAATATTAAATGTAGAAAAATTCCCGCTATAAGCTAAGAGTAGAAAAATGCTAACTGTATCCTAACATTAGCAAAATTTTTGCTAAATGCTGAAGGTTACAGAAGACTAACTAAAAGCTAAAAGTAACATAAGGTTAGCTAAAAGCAGATTTTTTTTTCTAAGAACAAAAAACTAAAAGTAGCAAAAGGTTAGCTAAAATGTTTAAAATAATATTTAAAAGCTAAAAGAAACAAATTGTTAGCTAAAAGTTGAACATTTCAAAGCATTAGCTAAAAGCTAAAAACAAGCAAATGGTTAGCTAAAAGCTGAACATTTCAGAAGACTAGCTAAAAGCTAAATGTGGCAAATGACTAGCTGAAAGCTACATGTAGCAAATGACTAGCTGAAAGCTACATGTAGCAAATGACTAGCTAAAAGTAGCAAATAGCTAAAAGTTGAACACTTCAAAYGACTAGCTAAAAGCTAAATGTAGCAAATYACTAGCTAAAACCTTAAAGTAGCAAGTGTTTAYCTAGAAGCTAAAGTAGCATAAGAGCCAGAGTCCTGAAGCTGTTTTAAAACAGAACTGCAGAGATCAAAATGTATTTCCATCGAAAACKTTTGTGAACAAAGTTAAATATTTTGAGAAGTAATAAAGTTACAAAAAAAAAAAAAAACAAGTCTCAGCACCCATGTCCTGAATGAGTGTTGTTCTGAACAGCTAAAATAGCAGAAAGTTTGTAGAAGTGTTTAGAAAAYACATCAAGCTTAGAGAAATGTTAAAAACAGGAAAACAAAAGTGCTGACTCAGCATTTATCCAGTGAATGACGGCGGACTTTAACTGAATCAGCATCACGCTAACCGTCGGCTCTGTTTTTGCACAGGAACCTCCTGCTGGGCGAGATCGACCGTGAGGAGCGGGAACGCTGCTGGTACTTCAGCCAGCTGGAGGCGCTGTCCCAGAAACTGGCCCAGCTTCCCAGGATCGACATGGTGAGACACGTCAAAACACGGGGGGACGAAGGGGGCGGGGCCTCAGAGGCTGGACGTTCTCCTGTTGACCTCTGACCTCTGTGTCCGCCTGCAGTTCTCCCTGCAGATGGATCTGATCCGGCAGCAGCTGGAGTTCGAGGTCCGGCAGGTCCGGTCTGTGATGGAGGAACGCTTCGGAACCAGCGATGAGATGGTTCACAGGACGCAGGTGAGACTGCCGGCTGCTGCCGCTAATTGTGTTTGAGCTMTTTAACAAACATCTTTAACAACCAGCAGAAATAATATTTGTGTTTCTGAACCGTCTGCGTCGCAGCTGCGTGTGGCTCGACTTGAGCAGCTGGAGAAGGAGCTGCAGGAGGTCCGAGGGAGTCAGGAGAGCCAGCTGCAGGTACACACACACCTCACACACATGAACACAACCAACAGCTCAAAACCAAAAGCACAAGTTAAAAGGTAACAAAGTAGTACAAGCTTTGCAAATTTCAAAAAGTAGCAAAAGCTTTGCTAAAATTTAAATGTAGCAAAAGACTAGCTTAAATCTGAAAGTAATAAAATTTTAGCAGTAATCCAAAGCCGAAAAAAGCTGGTAGTTAGCAAAACTTTAACTAGCAATAGCATATAGCTAGTTAAAATTAACACAAAATTGCTAAAGTTGGAAAACGTGGCTAAAGCTAAAGTAACAAAAGCATAGCTAAAGCTAAATTTAGCCAAAAGTTTAAAAATAAACATTCTGAAACAGGTCTCAAAGACAAAAAACCCATTTTAAAAAAAAGAGATTTTAATGTATTTATGAAAATACAAATTTACTTTTTCAAAGTATAAACATTATAAAATAGGAGTGTCTCCAATGCTGACTCAGCATTAAATCCAATAAATTATAAATATAAGGCTGCCCCGCTCCCTCCGTGCTTTGAGGGTCACTGCAGCAGTCGCTCCCAGTCTAACTCCACCTGACACAGCTTCACCGAGCCACAGCTGGACCACACCCAGAATCCRGGGTACAGCGGCTCGCTGAAATCAGAGGTGAAGGTGTGCAGGTGAACCATGGTGTCCTGAGAGATGCAGTAGAAGCACAATTCTTTCTCAGGAAAGTTGAGGAAAACCCCGACCCTGTGGGTGAACGGTTCTGGTGAYGAGGACCTGAACCTCTTGTTGTTGTGGCACGGCGTGTAGATTCCCTCCGAGCACTCCAGACTCCAGGACCACTCGTTGTGTCCCAGCAGGCAGCTGGCAGCGTCTCCGTCCCTGGAGATGTTGTAGTAGGTGACYCCGATGTCGGCGCCGCCGCTCCACTCCACCTCCCAGTAAACGGGATCCAGCAGCCCCTCCCTGCACAGGACCTGAGGGCATCGCTCGAACCGGTCCGGATGTTCTGGGGTCCAAGTGTTCAACCAGTCACGAGTCGCTGTTCTGTTTCTATCAGTTAGCCGAAGCTCGTAGTTGGCTGTTTTGGGGTCAAGGGTCAGATAGGTGGCGTCTGTTGGAAAAAACAGAACCAAGAATTATCAATCATGGTGCAGCATGASGGACAAAATTAAGACTATTGTGCAACCAGCGGTTACTACATCCTTGTAGCAGGAGGCTATATGTATTCCTAAACCAGCTATTTATCTGATTAATGATAGGCCGGCACCGCTAACTGAACAGCTGGCTTCGCTAACTGAGAGGCCATTGCTGGCAAATAAGAAGGAGACTATTTATTTGTGTTAGCATCGGAGAGGCTAGTGACTAGCATGGATAAGCCAGCATTAGCTTTGGAGAGGCAAGCAACTAGCATGGATAGGCTGGCATTAGCATCTGAGAGGCTAGCGACTAACATGAATAAGCTGGTGATAGCATTGAAGAGGCTAGCAACTAGCATGGATAACCTGTGTTAGCATCAGAGAGGCCAGGGAGTAGCATGTATAGGCTGGCGTTAGCATCAGCGAGTTTAGCGATGAGCATGGATAAGCTGATGTTAGTATTGGAGAAGCTAGTGACTAGCATAGATAAGCTGGCGTTAGCATCAGAGAGGCTAGTGACTAGCATGGATAGGCTGGCATTAGTATCAGAGAGGCTAACGACTAACATGAATAAGCTGGTTAAAACATTGAAGAGGCTAGCAACTAGCATGGATAAGCTGCATTAGCATCGGAGAGGCTAGCGATTAGCATGGATAGGCTGGCGTTTTAATTGGAAAGGCTAGTGACTAGCATGGATAAGCTGCATTAGCAACACAGAGGCTAGGGACTAGCATGGATAGGATGGCGTTAGCATCAGAGAGGCTATCAACTAGCGTGGATAGGCTGGCGTTAGCATCAGAGAGGCTAGCAACTAGCGTGGATAGGCTGGCGTTAGCATCAGAGAGGCTAGCAACTAGCATGGATAGGCTGGCATTAGCACAGAAAGGCTAGCGAGTAGCATGGATAAGCTGGCATTAGCATCAGAGAGGCTAGCAACTAGCATGGATAGGCTGGCATTAGCACAGAAAGGCTAGCGACTAGCATGGATAGGCTGGCGTTTGAATTGGAAAGGCTAGCAACTAGCATGGATAAGCTGCGTTAGCAACACAGAGGCTAGGGACTAGCATGGATAGGCTGGCGTTAGCATCAGAGAGGCTAGCAACTAGCGTGGATAGGCTGGTGTTAGCATCAGAAGGGCTAGCGACTAGCATAGATAGGCTGGTATTAGCACAGAAAGGCTAGCGAGTAGCATGGATAAGCTGGCATTAGCATCAGAGAGSCTAGCGACTAGCATGGATYGGCTGGCGTTTGAATTGGAAAGGCWAGCGACTAGCAWGGATAAGCTGCGTTAGCAACYCAGAGGCTAGGGACTAGCATGGATAGGCTGGRGTTAGCATCAGAGAGGCTAGCAACTAGCGTGGATAGGCCAGTGTTAGCATCAGAAGGGCTAGRGACTAGCAAAGGTAGGTTGGCATTAGCATCAGAAAGMCTAGCGAGTAGCATGGATAAGCTGGCATTAGCATCAGAAGGGCTAGCYACTAGCATYMATAGGTTGYCYTTAGCATCAGAAAGYCTAGCYACTAGCYTGGATAAGCTGGGGTTAGCGGTGCRGACCTATCATTAATCAGATCAATATCTGGCTTAGGAATAGATATAGCCTCCTGCTTCAAGGATGTAGCAACTGCTGGTTGCACAYTAGTCTTAATTTTGGTCCTCATACTGCGCCATWTTCSATCAACCAAAGACAGCAGARGTGGGTTTAAAGTGACACTCTTTGCAGATGATAATGTGAACTTTAGGAAAAACTCAGAGGAAACATAAAGAGGGAAAAGCTGTACGTGGAACCCCAACCCTTCACATGGACTCACAGTTCTTTGGTGACCACAGCTCTTCTGTCTGCTGATCCCTGCAGGAACACAAACAGACGATTCATCATAACGTCAGAAAAATACGTCAAACATGATGGCAGATATGAAACTATTTTCATTTTCATTCAGGTCTGACTGCAGGACTGGAGGGGCGACGTGTTTTAACTCACCTCAGGTCGTTTGTCAGAGTGAATAGATCTATTCCAGAGTTTAGAGTGTTTGAGGAAACARTTGTTAAAGCTTCATCTTCATCTCCCGAGGCGATGGATAAGTTCTCTCTCCTGTCTTCAGTCTCATATTTCTGAGCAGCTGTGGAGAAATGCAATATTAACACAATATTAGTGTGATTRGTCGTTATTTTGAGTTGTTAGATAAATTTGGTTGTACCTGTTTTTGATGCAAACATCTCACTTTGTTGTGTTTGAGAGATTTTCCTCTCAGAGCTCAGAACTACCGTCTCGCAGGTTGTAGATGTGTTCACGTGGTTCTTTGCGGCGTTGCTTTTCTCTTCATTCTGTTTGGTTAAATTACTCATGAAATCCAAGCTGTRGTTGCTCTTTTGAACTTCCTTCACATCTTTTTCTGTTTGGATCTTRAGGAGAGGTATTTCCCATCTGAACAGATTCCTGAAAGGCTCGTCGGCTCCCTCAGATTTGGACGGTTTCACCCTGGAGTTGTTGTCCTCCTTCACAGATTCGTCTTTATTCTCTCGTTCTTTCAGAACGCCAATTCTGAAAACACTGGAGAGGCTCTCCTTGAAATGATTTAGATCTTCTTTAAACAGAGTTAGAGAATTAACTGGCTTCTCTGTAAGCTCGTTCATTTTTGGATTTGTGTCCTTCTCTATGAACTTTTTCTTTAATCCTCCTTTAAACTGGATAAAGTCGTCTCTGATCAGAGTCCGAGTGCTGATTTCTCTTTTTTCASTCTGACTCAGCTTTGAAACATTGTTCACCTTAACGTCTTTATTGCTCTTCATCTCTGAGTCTGCTTCATCGTRCACCTGGACCTCAGCTGCCGTCTGATGATTTTCATGTGGCGGTTCTCCAAGAAGACTCATTTTGAACTGTTTTTTTGTCTTTCAGCTGCTTTTTTGCAGGTTCTTCTCAGTTCTTTTCACCTTGAGGTACAGGAAGCCCCTAAAGAATCAGAGACAGTTAGCAACATGTACTCATTGTGCACTRAAAAGTACTTTGAAAGAATAGAAACGTTCATGTAATTATCTGTTCAAAGTCTGAGATTGGTATGATTTTGGATCAGTAAACTAAGTCGTGTTTGTTTTGGCCTGATTTTTTTTTTGGTTTGACTCATTTTGACATTTGRTGAACAATTCTGAACAAAATGTGGGTTTGTCCAACACCCGCAAGTTGGGGTCTCTGCAATACATGTGGTCCTGTGGGCGGAGTTGGCCCTACTCGTGATTGGCAGAGGTGCTGATGTGGGCGGTGTTGGCCCTACCTGTGATTGGCGGAGGTCTCGATGTGGTTGGTGTTGGCCCTACCTGTGATTGGCAGAGGTCTTGATGTGGTTGGTGTTGGCCCTACCTGTGATTGGCAGAGGTCTCGATGTGGGTGGTGTTGGCCCTACCCATGATTGGCAGGGGTCTTAATGTGGTTGGTGTTGGTCCTACCCATGATTAACAGAGGTGTAGATGTGGGTGGTTTTTGGCCCTACCTATGATTAATGGAGGTCTCAATGTGGGCGGTGTTGGTCCTACCTATGAATAATGGAGGTCTCAATGTGGGTGGTGTTGGCCCTACCCGTGATTGGCGGAGGTTTCGATGTGGGTCATGTTGGCCCTACCCGTGATTGGCGGAGGTGTTGATGTGGGCGGTGTTGGCCCTACCTGTGATTGGCGGAGGTCTCAATGTGGTTGGAGATGGCCCTACCCATGATTAACAGAGGTGTAGATGTGGGTGGTTTTTGGCCCTACCTATGATTAATGGAGGTCTCAATGTGGGTGGTGTTGGCCCTAGCCGTGATTGGCGGAGGTTTCGATGTGGGTCATGTTGGCCCTACCCGTGATTGGTGGAGGTGTTGTTGTGGGCGGTGTTAACTCTACCCGTGATTGGCAGGGGTCTTAATGTGGGTCATGTTGGCCCTACCCGTGATTGGTGGAGGTGTTGTTGTGGGCGGTGTTAACTCTACCCGTGATNGTTGGCCCTACCCATGATTGGCAGGGGTCTCAATGTGGTCGGTGTTGGCCCTACCCGTGATTGGCAGAGGTCTTGATGTGGGCTGTGTTGGCCCTCCCCATGATTGGCAGGGGTCTTACTCTGGTCGGTGTTGGCCCTACCCATGATTGGCAGAGGTCTCTGTGTGGGCGGTGTTGGCCCTATCTGTGATTGGCAGAGGTCTCGATGTGGGTGTTGTTGGCCCTACCCATGATTAACGGAGGTCTCAGTGTGGGTGGTGTTGGCCCTACCCGTGGTTGGCAGAGGTTTCGATGTGGGTCATGTTGGCCCTACCCGTGATTGGCGGAGGTGTTGATGTGGGCGGTGTTGGCCCTACCTGTGATTGGCGGAGGTCTCGATGTGGTTGGTGTTGGCCCTACCTGTGATTGGCAGAGGTCTTGATGTGGGTGGTGTTGGCCCTACCCATGATTAACAGAGGTGTAGATGTGGGTGGTTTTTGGCCCTACCTATGATTAACGGAGGTCTCAGTGTGGGTGGTGTTGGCCCTACCTGTGATTGGTGGAGGTGTTGTTGTGGGCGGTGTTAACTCTACCCGTGATTGGCAGAGGTCTCAGTGTGTTGAAACAATGACTCAAATAAACATCGTGAACATCGAAACAAAATTTACTGTCTTCAAATTTCGTGTCTCAAGTTATGACTAAAATTAATCTGTATATTTAAAAAATATGGTGATTCCTGGTCAGTTCCACCAAGCTGCCCCCCACCCCACCCCCAGCTTCTTCAAACCCCACCGTCAATCTGGCCAATCACATCATGGGTAAACTATGATGTGATTGGTCAGATCACCCACTTCTCAACTCCTGGGCCTCCTGGAGGACCTTAGTACAGAAACAGAGCTGGTCCAGTGTTCCACAACCAAGTGGYAGTGATGCTCCTGGAATTGGAACAGACCAGGGGTCTCCAACCAGTAGCTCATGAGCTCATTTCAAGTAGCTCTGCAGTGCTTATGAAAAAATAGGAGAAGCAAATTTTATTTTGTCACTGGCCAAACAATCAATCTATAGATTCCCCTTCGTTGTCAATCAAACAGTTTAGGGCTCAGTARAGTCGATCAGCAGARGARGCTTGMTTATGTGGTTGTTCGGCATTCGTTTRCGCACACACCTTTCATGGCCCTTTGAGGCAGTGMRACACTGTGCCGAGCTCCTGGGAAACCCCTCCCACTGTGGTATACGTCACTGCACAGGGTTTCTTCCTGCTGGAGTCTACAATGTGGGAAAAAATCAGAGACGRGTCACCCGACGTTATTTGTGCACAAATCTGTCGCAGTTAAACCCTAAGTTATTAATGTGAAATACACTATAATATGAATGGATAAACACAAAAAGCGCGTTCATGTTAATTAAGTGTTCTTTGTATTAGTTTCATGTGAATTGAAGACAATGTTTTTTTGTGCAAAACAAGCATGTTCCAATGGTTTCCAAAGGCCTAGCTAGAAATGTACAACTTCTTTCAGCTCTGTCCATAAATCTGTAATCAGACTGATCACCTACCTTTTAACCAAACAGCTTCTGGTGAATTAAAAAACCTTGAACCAATTAAAGGTCTTTAATAAGTGAAGCAGYAAGACGTTCAGGGGTCCAGTAAAACCTCTCCACTCGTGTTCGGGCCTGTCAGAGATATTCAGTCAGGAGGAGTGTCAGATTCTCACAGCTCCTTCAGCTTCGGCTGTTTTTCATCCTTCATTTAAAAACAACAAACAGAAGTCTCTGAGATCCAACAGATCCGGTGTCCTCTGAACTGAAACAGGCGTCTCTCTGGGAGACTTACCGTCTCTCAGCTGAGCTGCGGTCCTGTCTGACCAGTTCGGCTCCATATTTCAGTCTGGCTGCAGGTGACGTGATTGGTTGAAAGAAGCAGAACTTCAGGTTTCTTTGCTCTGGATAGCTGKACACAGGAAAAGGGAAGGACATGTGATTTTACACAGTTCTGTTCCCCTTTGCAGGCCCGTCTTCAGTTTCAGTTTCGGCTTTTTGTCCACCTAAAAAAACCAAATGGAACCTCTAAAAGCCAACAAATCAGGTCTCAGACGGACCTCAGAGCTGAAAGAMTCACAGTCACTCAGCTCAAACAGCTGTTTACAGACCTACCTTACAATAACCTGTGGAGAGAAACTCAGCTGTAAGATACTGATGATGATGATGCTCATGTTGGTCATCATRGTTGCAAAATCTGTTTATTAAAGCAACTTTGAGCTTGTTTTTCTGCAAACTGACTTGGAAGTGATCGTCACAGGTTGTGGTAAAGCTGAACGCACTAAAACAGAATAGTTTGTCTGGTTGTTGCAACATCAGTCAATCATCTGTTGTTGGCATCTGATCTTTGTGTAACTGATATTGTGTGTGTCTCAGGTCTCTGTTGTAAATGAGACTACACATCTCAAAGAGATTACCCCCCTAAAAATAAATAAATTAATAAATAAAACCACAGTGAGACATGACCCGCCCCACTTTCTGGGACCAAACTCTGTTTTGCAAGTTTCAAATAAGTCTCAAATCTTTAGGCTCCAGTCCCAAGTCAAGTCTCAAGTCTGAAACTTGGAGTTCAAGTCTTTTTGAGTCTTTCTTTTAAACAAAATTGCAGTTACATGTGAAATGTAAATAAAACAGCGTGTGCTTTTTAAGAAAATTTGTATTCACCTCAAATCCTGCAGCTAAACTTACAAAGAATTTAAAAATTCATTTTAAAATTGCACCTTTATATTACACAGTTCAAATACACTTAGTAGCAAAAAAAAGTCTTTTAAAATCTAATTTTTCAATTTTAAAATCTGGTTAATTTGATTTGCTGTGCTGCAGCTCACACACACACACACACACACACACACACACACACA